AAAATCGATATTTTTTGAAAATAGCCTACTATGATCAAAACCAAAAATGCTTTAAATTGCATTTTAAAACATATTTAGGTATTATAAATGATAAAGAACGCTAATATAGATATAAAATCGATATTTTTTTGAAAATAGCCTACTATGATCAAAACCAAAGATGCTTTAAATTGCATTTTAAAACATATCTAGGTATAATAAATGATACAGAATGCTAATTTAGACATAAAATCGAAATTTTTTTGAAAATAGCCTCCTATGATCAAAATCAAAAATGCTTTAAATTGTATTTTAAAACATATCTAGGTATAATAAATGAAAAAGAATGCTTAAATAGATAAAAAAATCGATATTTTTTGAAAATAGCCTACTATGATCAAAACCAAAAATGCTTTAAATTGCATTTTAAAACATATCTAGGTATTATAAATGATAAAGAATGCTAATATAGATATAAAATCGAAATTTTTTTGAAAAAAGCCTACTATGATCAAAACCAAAAATGCTTTAAATTGCATTTTAAAACATATCTAGGTATTATAAATGATAAAGAACGCTAATATTGATATAAAATCGATATTTTTTTGAAAAAAGCCTACTATGATCAAAATCAAAAATGCTTTAAATTGCATTTTAAAACATATCTAGGTATTATAAATGATAAAGAATGCTAATATAGATATAAAATCGAAATTTTTTTGAAAAAAGCCTACTCTGATCAAAACCAAAAATGCTTTAAATTGCATTTTAAAACATATTTAGGTATTATAAATGATAAAGAACGCTAATATAGATATAAAATCGATATTTTTTTTGAAAATAGCCTCCTATGATCAAAATCAAAAATGCTTTAAATTGTATTTTAAAACATATCTAGGTATAATAAATGATAAAGAATGCTTAAATAGATAAAAAAATCGATATTTTTTGAAAATAGCCTACTATGATCAAAACCAAAAATGCTTTAAATTGCATTTTAAAACATATCTAGGTATTATAAATGATAAAGAATGCTAATATAGATATAAAATCGAAATTTTTTTGAAAAAAGCCTACTCTGATCAAAACCAAAAATGCTTTAAATTGCATTTTAAAACATATTTAGGTATTATAAATGATAAAGAACGCTAATATAGATATAAAATCGATATTTTTTTTGAAAATAGCCTACTATGATCAAAACCAAAAATGCTTTAATTTGCATTTTAAAACATATATACCCTAGCGAGATTAACCAGCAAATTGCTAGTCTTTCTTTTCTACAACTTGCAATTTACTAGTTATTATTAAAACAACTTACTGTTAATAAATTACACTTGCTATTTACTTGTATAAGTATGAAGGTATGAAGCTTGATAAGTCAACTAAGCTTCGCTCAGCATAAGTTTGAAGGTATAAAGCTATCGCGTAAGCTGAGCTACGCTCAGCATAAGTTTGAAGATATAAAGCTAGAGTGTCAGCTGAGCTACGCTCAGCATAAGTTTGAAGATATGAAGCTAGAGAGGCAGCTGAGCTTCGCTCAGCATAAGTTTGAAGTTATAAAGCTATCGCGTAAGCTGAGCTACGCTCAGCATAAGTTTGAAGATATGAAGCTAGAGAGGCAGCTGAGCTTCGCTCAGCATAAGTTTGAAGTTATAAAGCTATCGCGTAAGCTGAGCTACGCTCAGCATAAGTTTGAAGATATAAAGCTAGAGTGTCAGCTGAGCTACGCTCAGCATAAGTTTGAAGATATGAAGCTAGAGAGGCAGCTGAGCTTCGCTCAGCATAAGTTTGAAGATATAAAGCTAGAGTGTCAGCTGAGCTACGCTCAGCATAAGTTTGAAGATATAAAGCTAGAGAGGCAGTGGAGCTTCGCTCAGCATAAGTTTGAAGGTATAAAGCTTGACGAATATGCCAAATATTCTTTAAAAGTTTTTTAAAAAAAATTTTCATCCAAAGTTGAATTTTATAAAAATCACAGTCAACTTTTGTTTTAAAAAATTCGTAAGAAAGGAAAGTTTTTTGCCATTTCTGAAGCAACGGCTGTTCCTACCTTGCCCAAAAACAATACAGCTCTTCTATAGAGCAGCACGGATCAAATGTAAAAAACTAGAAGTCTCTACCATGTCTCGTTATTGAGATTTCTTGCTGATTAACTTGCTTGCATGCTTTCTTGCTTGCTTGCTTGCTTGTTTGCTTACAGAAAGCGTATTTTGCGATTTTCTCAGCAATGCCACAACCAATTTGAAATCTGTTTTTTGAAAATGATGTAAAATTTCAGGCACAAACTTTTCTTCTTGCCCTTTTATAACCAATTTTGCTTTGTTTTCTCACAAAATGCGAAAAACTGATTTTTCAATCTGAACAAAACCAATAGATTCACACGTGAAAACGGTGTGAATATAAAAACTTCAATTAACTTTAATAAGTCAACAACTACTAACTTGACGTTGTTTGATCCATTTCATCAATAATCATTTCTTGAGCTTGTTCTTTAACACTTTCTTTTGCTGTGCTGCTACTTCTTGCCATGTTCTTTAGTCAAACGAGTTTAAGAATGTTCATTTCCATCTTGGTTTCATCCGTTTTCAATGAAAGTATCATGTTATCTGGAAAAGTTCCAAATTTAAAATGAATTATAAATTCAAAACTCTGACTTACTATTATTTGTGAAGAATCACTTGTCAATTGCTATTTAGAGCCATTTAACTTCTCCAATTGACAAAGGTTTAGTTTGTCTAACCTGTTTAAAATCTCAGGCACCTCTTTTCTCTTAAAACCGAACGTACAACATGGGTCAAACTTCTTATTAACGAGTAAACTGAATTTAATGTCTACTCCATGCAATGACACAATTACAACTAAAATCAATTAATTTGAAACCACTTTAATGGTGACTACGATTTTATTTTGTTTATTAATTGAAATATTTAAACTCTTAATCTTTATCTTTAAGCGATAAAGGCTGTAAACCAACAAAACTAAACTTAATGTTCAATTCAAACGAAACAATTGTCTTCGTAAAATCCATCCAGACAAAAGACAAACATTAAGCTCTAAAGAACCACTTAAAATGAAATACTTTTCTTTAAACTTTCTTTTTTTTCATCCAGTTCCAAGATAAAGTAAAGAAAATTCTGTTTCATGTTTCTCGTGCTGCTCATGAATTTCCTTCTCCTTCTCTTTCATTAGTGCTGAAAAGTTTTCACACTACAAATAACAGCAGCAACAACAAGAAGGGGCGAAGAAGAGAATAAAGGAAACTACAGGTGTTACTGAACAATGCTATGCTTTTGAATTCTTGAAGTTCCTTCACACTACCCACGTAACCAAAGTATTCCATATATTTTCCATTGCCATCAATGGAAAATGTATGTACTATCCATTAACATTCCTTCTTTACATTACATATGTTCAACATAAATGTATGATACATGTATATTCCATATTTAATACATTTATGTATAAAGTGAGTTTCCTGTTTAACATTGCCATCAATGGAAAATGTATGTACTTCCCATTAATATTCCTTCTTTGAATTACATATGTACAACATAAATGTATGATCCACGTATATACCATATTTAATACATTTATGTATAAAGTGAGTTTAATTTTTTAATTAGAAAAAATAAAGTTGTATAAAATTAAAAATCAATGAGTATTTATGTAAAACCAGATTAAAAATTCATATTAATTAGTAAAATTTATTTATATTAATAAAATACGTTTATCCTCGACTTTTCCTTTTATTCATTCGTTGATAACCACGGATCCATTGTTTTCACGCCAGACATGTTTAAATGGTTTCTGTCCTGGACAATGATATTTCAAAATATTTATCAATTCTTCATGACTTCTTTCTTGCTTGATTCCGATTCCTTTACTAATTTCTCAAAACCTTCACGTTTTTCACGATTTTGTTCTGCCAATGCACGTCAAAAGTCTAGCGCTCAACGACTATATTAATAAAAATAGGAATAATACAGTTCATACAATGATTATTTCATTAAAATGAATAAATAGACTTACCGATGGAAGCGAGATGATGAAAAATATATTAAGAAAATGTCTCGCATATCTGTTTGACGAGTGATGCTCTCTTCTATATGACCAATTCATCTATTTCACGATCGATTGGACAAACTTGTTCATTGCAAACATAAATTCCTTTTTGTCTTGTTCTTTAATTTCGTCTTCAAACGACATCAGCTTCGTTATTTCTCGCTCGACTTAGCACGAACGGCTGCATTTCCCTCAAATTTGTCTGATTCCTTCACATCCATTTTCAAGTAATCAGCATGAACTTTATGTGTCAACATCGAATCCACTATACTTGGACCTTACTTCCTATTTGGCATATTTAATTTCCGCAACCATTTTGAAAGATTTGTGTTTTTGATTGATTTAAGCTTTTAATGACTTTAAATATGATTGAGAAGATCCAACTTTCCTTTTTCTGATCATTTCAACCTGAGACTAAAATGATGAATTATTCACCATAAAAAGGATCCAACTCAAAATCCAGAACTTTCAATGGATCAAAAGTGGATATGATGTTCTGCTGAATGTTCAGACATCGCTAATGTAATTCTTATTTCCTTTAATCGATCCTTATGCTGATATACTGAGATCCAGTAATTGTCAAATTCCTGAATATACATGCTAAAATTAAAAAAAAAATATTTAAAAATAAGCCTAAGACGTTTTTACATCATTGTAAACATTCCTTCGAAATTTACCTTACCTTTTTTATTGCTTTTTTCACTTTAACTTAATAAATTAAATTAATTTAACACAAAAACAAAACAAGAGTTATGGACGAATAACTTTAAAAAAAACTTGCAAAAATAGAAAAAGACTACCCCTCATAAATTTAAAAAAAAACGACCGTTATAAAAATTTGGATAACACGTGATACATTTATGCATGACATGTGATACATGAATGGATGATTTATATTCCATTGATGTAAGATAACACGAAAATGAACTTTTAAACAATATCTTTAGTATTTTCCGAGACTGCAGTTCAAGATTTAATAAATTAGTGAATATTGGTGTGATATTGGTCAATTTAATACAAAATTTGGCAGAAACTGTAAGTAAGTTATTGAGAAATTGTGAAATTAATCCTAAAAAGTGATAATATATTTAGAAATTATGGGAAAATCACAAAATCTACTTAATCTAAAAAAAGACAGCATTAGAAGAAAGAAACGAAGAAAAATTGCGGAACTTAATCTAAAGATAAAGGAAAATGTTGATAAAATTAGTGGAAACAAACGTTTAATTACATTAAATAACGTCAGTAATGATAAAAATGCTGAAAAAGAGGAAAACATAAATGATTTTTATAGTGATTCAAATGAGGTTTTTGATGATAATATCAATGAAGAACCAGATTTTCTAAATAGAAATGTTTATGATTTAGACCTCAGTAGTTTTTTGAGAGTATGGAGCATAAAATTTAACATTCAAAGAAACGCATTAAGTGACTTATTAAAATATCTTAAAAAAATCGATCCGACACTCCCAATGGATTATAGAACGCTACTTGAAACCCCCAGAGATATTTCATTAACTAAAGTGGAACCCGGAAACTACATTCATTTTTCATTAAAAGATGAAATAAATGAGTTTTTGACCAAGACAAAAAACATTCCACAGAAAATAAATATTAATTTAAATGTTGACGGAGTTCCTATTTACAAAGATACATCAAAGTTTCCAGCATTCTGGTTAATTCAAGGTCAATTTAGTGATTACAAGTATAAACCTTTTATTATTGGATGTTATGGAGGTACGACTAAACCAAAATCATTTACTGAATTCTTGAAACCTACCATAGATGAATTTAAAAGTTTAAGGAACTTTATGTTTAAAAACCATACAATTGATGTTAAAATTAATAAAGTTATGCTCGATGCTCCAGCAAAATCAGCTGTTTTAAACATTACTGGACATAATGGCTATTATTCGTGTCCTAGATGTGAAGTAGAAGGCAGATTTATCGAAAACAAAATGTCATTTTATGAATTAAATGCTCCATTAAGAAGTAATAGTTCATTTCGTGAGAGAGAAAACAAGGAGCATCATCATGAAGGATCTAGCATTCTGGAAGAACTAGACTATTTTGATTTAATATTCGATGTAGTAATAGATTACATGCATACTGTATTGTTAGGTGTGATGAAGAAGTTATTGAGAATGTGGTTTATTGATACTGGAAAGTTTAAATTATCAAATTTAGATAAGTCTAAAGTGTCTAAAATTATTCAAACTGTTAACAACACGATTCCGACAGAATTTCAACGAAAATTAAGAGATCTAAACTATATTTGCCATTTTAAAGCAACCGAATGTCGTCAATTTTTGCTATTTCATGGAATAGTCGCTTTGAAAGACGTAGTTGATAGAAAAGTTTACCAGCATTTTCTAAAATTTCATATTGCTATAAAAATTTTATGTGACACTAAATTTTATGTTAAGTTTAATCAAATTGCAAAATTACTTCTTGATGAATTTATTTGTGAATTTAAAATGTTGTATGGTGAAAAGGAAATTGTTTATAACGTTCATTTGTTACATCATATATCAGACGAATGCTTTAGGAATGGACCTTTGGATACTTTCTCATGTTTTCCTTTTGAAAATAACATGTCCATGCTAAAAAAGTTAATTCATACAACGAACAATCCTTTACAACAACTTTTTAATCGTATTTATGAACATAATGCATTAGGTGACTTAAAAGTTTTTCTATCTAATGAAAATGATAGTAATAGAAAGAATAATTTATTCGTCAATAATTGTATTATTGATAGTTCTGACAAAAATAGTTATGTATTGCTAAAGACTGGCGAGATTTTTAAGTTTCATTCTTCTATTATAAACGACGGTAGCTTGAAATTGAAAGGTCATATTTATTTGGATACTCAAAATCTATTTGATTTTCCTATAGCGTCTAAAAATATAGATATATTTGGATTGAGTAATGTTAAGACAGTTGATGTCATAATTGATTTAGAAGATTGTGAGAGAAAGATGTTTAGTATAGATACAAATTATGTAAAAGATAATGGACAAAACTTAGTAAAATTATTTTTCCCCATGTAAACTTAGAAACAATAAAGGAAAAAAATGTATTACGTTGTAAAATTCGATGATTCTTGCTCAATTGGAACAATAAAAAAGGACTGGATGATAGATGATAATCGTTGCATTTTTCCTTCTACAAAAAATGTAAAGAAATATTTGAAGATGAAAAGTACTGAAGCAAACAAAGGCAACTGGAAAATCTATAAGTGCACATTAAAATATCCAAAAAAAAATGGAGAGCAAGGTATTCAGGAGCTAGATGATGCAATATTTAAGGAGACATTTTATGTTGAAAATTCAGATACTGATGATCATGAGGCAAAGGCTAAATTAAAAAAATACCTGCATAAGCATCCACTTGCAAAATATGATGATCAATTGGATCTTAATCACTTAATAACAGAAGAAATGGTAAAGTTTTTTTTTATTAATTAATTTACGCACATCAAGCATTATTTTCTATTAAAAAACCAATACATTTTAGACTGAAACAAAAATTTCAGAAATGCACGCAACGTCTCTTGTTGATTCTATGAGCGGAATAGAAGATGGTATGGGTAGCCAAGTGTTCAACATGGAAATTTCAAATCCTGGCTCATCCTTTTCAATTGTGTATGATGCTGATGAATTAAATAATGCACCAGCGGATGAGAATGAAAATGATAAACCATCCAAACAGGTATGAAACATTTTTTTGTTATTTTCATTTTTATAATGTGTTAAATTTTATTATTATTTATCATAAAATAGTTCGTCACTCAAGGAGTTCAGCAAGACACACTAACAGTAATGTGTAATTTCTTAAATCAGATTAGTGTGCAAAACGATACAATTTTGTCACAGAATGAGGTCATAATAAGAGAACAAGTCTCACTTTCAGCAAAATTGGCAGTAATTGAGAAGCAACTTGAGCATTTGGAAGTAAATACTCGAAGTGATATCGATATCACCGGTTTTTCAATCAAACAAATTGAAAATATTAACGATTTTCAAGCCTTTCTTAAAAAGCTTGATGAGGAAAAAGTTTTTAAAGCAAAATGTGTAAGTATAATAAATTATTGTAAAAAAGTTAAATTTTAAAGAAAAATTATATTTTTAGATTTTTTGGCTTTTTAAGAACTGTCCAAAAGGTACTTCATTGCATGCTTATAACGGAGTAATAAAAAGAGTAATTCAAAAACTATTCAGTATTGATTTTATTGATATTTGCGGATGGGGATCAGAAAAATCGTCAAAGGATGAGTATGTTAATTCTATTTTTACATTATAAATTTTTAAATTAAATTTTATTTAATACTTTTAGCTCGAACGTGGGTAAAAGTAAGAGAATAATTTTGTCGGAATATGCAACATTTAAGCAATTGCTTTTTGACGTGCTCAATTATAAAAACTTACATGGTGAATTCACGCCAGATGAAGTTGCCAAGGGAGTTAAAGAAAAATTTAAGCGGTATCAAAGAATGAAGGCTCAAAATTCAGTTGCTAATGACAAAAAATCACCAATTGATAAGGCTAAAAATCAACAGCTCAATCATGTATCAGCATAATAAATAAGTAAGTTATTGTTAAAAAACTAGATGAAGCATAAATACAATGGTGCTTTTTTTTATATTTGCAGACTCTAATTATTGTATTTGCTTTGTGGTGACGAGTTCTTGAAGCAAATTAGGAGATGGAATCAATTGGCTGTTAATTTATGGATATTGAGTTGAACTCGTTAAAGCAAATTTAAACTTAACTTGGAGACATTACATTAGTTTTTGCACTTACCTAGTCATTGTCTTATAGTATAAAAAAATAGAAAATTAATTACCAGAGAATTGTAAGAACATTAATTTAGAAAATAAATTTTGAGACTTTTAGTTATTCTTGAAAAATAAAACCACACAAATTCTTTTTCAATAAAAAATTGTATGGTTCTAACAGTATCATACACAAATGTAATACGTAAATTATACACAATAGTAATACATAAGTTTTACTTTAATGGAACCAAAGTTACAAATAAATATAACACATAAGTGATACATAAGTGCTACTTGAATGTACTACATATGTTGTACTTCAATGTAATACAGAAGTAATGCTTAATATCGTCCCAAATATCGTCCATGTTCATAGGACAATATCATTCCATGGATTATCCATGGATGATACGTGTGGACTTTACATGGATTATTTTCGTGTATTACATGTATCGTCCATTTATGGGATTTTGGTTACGTGGGTATATATTAATGTTGTTGTTATTGTTAAGGAAACATGAAAGCTTAGCGCAGCAAAAAGTTTCATATTTTCTATATTAATAAATCTGTAAGATACAAAAAAAGAAGGTGCTGTGACATGATTAACGCTTGAGGAAGTAAAGTGTGAATGGAAATAAAGAATAAGTTTATCAACTGAACTGTTCACTGGATGTGTAATTAGTGAGCATTTTTGGAATAAATCAACACCCACGATGTGGAATCTGAGAAGATTCATAGCTTCAATTAATACAGCTCTGACATTTTTGTCTACTGACGTGAAACAGCACGCTACGAGAGATTTGATTGAGGTTTATGTTCTATTTTCTGTCTGTGAAACTTGGTATGATGGAAATATCTCTGATTTCATTTGAGGTTTTTCGTTTATTTTCGGTCGTGAAGGAAATAAAAGATACTGGAACTGAAAAGTGAAATTTAATTAAGACCAGAACTTTAGCATGTAGAAGTGTTTAAAATTGAGGGAAATGGTAAGGTTGGGTTGAGTGTGCTGGTTGAAATGATTTGGACATTTTTATGAAGTTTTGTAGATGAAAAGTCATGAAATAATTCTTGAGTGGAACATGTGTGTTGTCAATAACTAGACATACGGATCGATTTGAACATTCCAAACATCATTTCTTGAGTTTCATTCGATCATTAAACAGCAGATCCATTTTTGTGGTGTTTTGATGCTTCCTGTTCTTAATTGACCTCAATTCTTAACTTTGAGTCGATACAGCAAACATGTCAATTAACTATTCTTAACTCATTTAACATCCCATTCCAAAAAAATATTCCAAAAGTTTTTAAAGAATTTCCAAAGATTATTAAAATGTCTTTGAAATATTTCAGATTCTTCTGTTGCTCCGAAAATTTTATTAAGTTAAAAGAGTCTTGTTTCTCATGTTATGGCACAAGACAATAAAACTTTATTTTTTCTTCTCTTTCCTAAACTCCTAAAGAATCTTGAGAAATTGAAAAACAAAATCCCAACGACACAATCTACAAAAAAAAACTATTCATGTACAATTTTTCTTTTTCTTCAATGTTCTTTTCATTGCCAAGTATTTACCGGAAAAATGCTCACTTTTTTGACAATTTAGGTCACACAGCTTCCTTTCTTAGCACCTTTCATGTGGTCGCGTAAATAAATCACAAAGTGGAAGAAGAGGGTGGTGTGACAGTCTTACAACAACAAAAGGCAAATATCGTTGTTCATCTTTTTATTTCGTGCTTGGCAAGAGTTTGGCAGAGACTTGGAAATGTTTGAGGGTGTTAAGGGGTATTTTGCGGTTTGTCTGGTTTTTATAGCAAGTTCTAGTTTTATCTCAGATTTGAAGCAATCATTTGGATTAGAACTCCTTTATAAAGCGATCCAAGGTACAAATCTTAGTCACAGAAATCATGACTAGATTTATATTGGATTTACAACTCATGAGTAGGATTTCTCAAGTATATATACCTAGAAACTGGCACAAGACCGGGTAGACACTTAGATAGTAAACTGCCACCAAAACTCTGAGTTTAGGCCACAAAACTAAAGAACTGAACATTAACAGCTAGACAAATAGTTTTAGTAAAGTTGAAGTCGCTGATAAGAATCGAACCCATGTCCTTAAAAGCAAAAGTTGCAGATTTATTGGTTCGATTCCTAACTCATCGGCTACAAAGGACATACTCTTGCATTAGCAGTATAGTCAACATTAAGCTCAATATTTCAGATCCAATACCACTTTGACTTCCCAGTCGTCATAGCCAAATACATCTTCAAATTCTGCTTATCAAACAGATATAATCTACTCTCAATAGTTTCATAAATGCGCCTAGAATCTCAAAATTTATTCCCCTTAATTACTTATTCTCCTTTCATCTTCATCATCACTCTCTGCCTCGTACTTCCTTACTTTTATTATTTACCTTGGGAATAAAACATTTGCTTGCAAAACAGCACAAAAAAGTAATTCATAATTCAGTTTATTTTCTTTCTGAAGCTTCTCCGAGCTTTTGCACTTCCACTGCTTATTACGGCCCATTTTTGGTGGTGAATGTTGTGTAACAAAATGAGAGCGCGTGAAGGTGAGGCAGTAAGGTAAGGTGATGTGCTGCGGTAAAGAAATAAACAACTTTTTATGTAAAACTGTAGTTTTAGTGCCAATAGAAGAAGTGAACAGAAAGTTTCGTTTAATCACTGCCATATCTAAATGCCACTGGCACCTATTGCTGCTTGACGATTTTCAAATATTATTTTGTATAAAATTGATTTGATATTAATGTAGGAAGCGCATTTATGGATGTTTGAAGTAGAATTGTGTGTCAAATATGAGTCTTTAGACGTTCAGACCCTGCTGTATTCCTATCAAAGATGAAGTAATTCAGTCTATTAGCAACCAGTCAAATCTACAGACCAAACTTAAATGTTCAAAAAAATTCACCGACATTTTTAAACTACCACCACAATTTTCTACAAAATATCACCTCAAGCCATAAGGAAGAAGTTTATTTCTTCACCATCGCACCTGCAGTTATGTTTCCTCCATATTTTTCTGCCTCACGCCACCAAAGCATTTAGTTTTCTTAAGAAGTGGAAGAAGTTTTTGGAAACTTTTGTTTCGTTTATAGTGTCGTGCAGCTCGACTTGACTTTTCCCTCCAATCCACCTACTTTATTAAATATTTTAATTCGTTGTATTGTTTAGTGACATGGGAAACAAACAGATTTATATTTTCTTGGGATGGGAAGTTTATTGATTTGGGGATTTCACTTTCGAAAATCAAAAATTTTAACTTTCGAAATCAAAACTTGATCCACAGAAATCAAAAATTTCAACTTTCGAAAATCAAAAATTTAACTTTCGGAAATTAATTATTAAACTTTCGAAAATCAAAGTTTTAAGTTTCGAACTTGAAAAAATTCACTTTTGAAAATCAGAATTTTAGTTTAGAAAATTAAAAGATTTCAGTTTAGAAAATTATAAGATTTCACTTTGGAAAATCAAAAATTTCATTCTCGAAAATCAAAGTTTTAAGTTTGAAACTTTGAAAAATTCACTTTAGAAAATCAAAGTTTTCACTTTCAAACATCAAAGTTTTCACTTTCGAAAATCAAAGTTTTCACTTTTGAAAATCAAAGTTTTAAGTTTCGAAAATGAAAAAATTCACTTTTTAAAATCAAAGTTTTCACTTTTGAAAATCAATGATTTCACTTTCGAAAATCAAAGTTTTCACTTTTTAAAATCAATGATTTCACTTTCGAATTAAATTTTTCAATTCTGATGTTAAAAATTATCACTTTAGAAAAAATTCCGTTGAACATGAACAAAGCTAACAACAAAATCTCCCCACCTTACCAACTCAATGCAAATAAATATGCAATTTTTATAAAAAAAATTCATTTCATAAAAATTTTCAGAAAAGCCAAATGCTTATGTTATTGACAGTCGGTTCTACAAACAAAATTGCTTTATTGAAACTTGAGAACGATGATAAGGCAGATAGGATAATGAGCTTATACACTCAATTGCTGTTGCCGAGGATTATTGTCTTCTTACTCCAATTGGTTATGATCCTATGGCAAATGAAAAAGGCAAATGAAGAGGAAATTCTGTACCACAATTGTAATAAAAGATTCCATTAGAGAAGACCTTTTAAGGTTAAAAAGGGAAAACAGAAAAAAAGAGATTAATTTCAAGAGCTTTTCGCTATGGATATGCCAAAAAAAATTTTGTGTACTTCTTCAGATTTTGTAAAAAAAAAGTTTGAATCTTTTGTTGCATAACAACAGCAGCAAAAAAACACTTTATTTTGATGAAATTGATCGCGGAAAATGATTCAATTTGGAACCATTTAAAGAATAAGATTGCATGTGGCGTCGGTTATTGTATTTTAAACCTGTACTAAGAGTTCTTGAATAATTATAAATTAACTTAATCGTAACCACCGCTAAAATTAATAAGATAGCAACATAAAACTTTCTATTTTTATTGCCATCATCACATCCATCCCTCCTCCATCCAAAGTCATTCTTCATTCAATTTAAGACGAAGTTTAAGACATTTCTTCTTCACACTCGCTGTTCAATATCCGTTTAGCATTAACTGTGAACCTATATCTTTCCACTTCTTTCCTTTACGTATGTACGTACACGATTCATCTGTCAATCCGGATTTTGATTGTTATGGGTCCGTTGGGCGATTGAAATTTTATTTTATTTTTTTAGACGTTGAAGAACTTCTTCCTTATTCTCCTTGCTCTCTTTTTAAGGCTCATTTGTTCGCGTGTGAATTTCATCCATTGAGAATTTAGATCTACCCTTCGATCATAAAAGAAAATAAAATAATCTTTCTTCATTCGTTTGTGTTGTGAGAATGTTTTGTTGCCGCTTCCTATTTGGAGATGGATAAGAAGGAAAAGTATGAGAATTGTTGAAGGTTAAATTATTGGAAAGCATAATTAAGCAGTAGAGTGCTTTGCTGGTTGAAAAGGTAAGGTACTAGACTCAATGGGTATGGCAACTCGAAAGTCATCGGTTCGAATCCAGCTATTTTCAAATTTGTTCTTTTTCAGAAGTTTAGATACTTTGACTGCTTAATGTACCATTATTGGGCATTTTGGCAACGTTGGATTAAGAAACTG